TCGAAACAAGATTTTAAAATATTCTGTTTATAAAATCCATCTGTAATTTTATGCCGCCAATAATAAAAGCGTGGGACGCCCTTGACAAACATATAAAAATAATGGCTACCACTTTTGAAAACGCAGTGAAATCTGCTTACTTCAATCAGGCAATCAAAATTCTGCAGAATTTCACTCCGCACACCGAAGACCGGGGTCGCAAATGAAAAATTAAAATTAATACTAATAAATCGCAACTTTTACTTATCAGAAGAAGAAAGCGAAAACGCCCTAAAAATAACAACCTGCTACTGTTCAACGAAATAGTTCCTATAGTACGTCAGGCTAAATGCCTCGGTGTCACTATTAACGATAAGCTTACTTGGACTCCGCATATCCGGAATCAAGCCCTGAAAGTCATTAACTGTCTCCTTCCCATCTTGGAAAAATATTCTAATCTTGTCCTAAATAAGAAGCGACTTATTTACCTGACTGCTCACGTATGCGTATGAGTACGTATGCATACGTATGAGACCCATCCTCACGTATGCATCACCTGCATGGACTGCGGCCAAACCTGATGACATTAACAAACTTTAAATTGTTCAAAATAAATTTTTGAGAATTGCAACAAACGCTCCCAACTACGTAAGGAACTCTGTGTTACACAGTGATCAAGCAGCATTCATCGGAGCCACAGCACGAGAAAGTTACGGACTTGGTATTTTCTATCTCAGTGCTACTGCAAGAACTGTACATATCTGTATATATTTATTGCTGATTTATCTTTATTATTTTTTTGTTTCATGTATGCATACTTCTTTTAATAATTAAGATTCATCTGCATGCACGTACCCTGTCACCTGAGCACTTCTGCGTCTGTTGGACTTTCTCGCTAAGCCCCGCCCAGTGCTCATAAGTTTTGGATTTCACAGCACTTTGCTTGATTTGGACTTTTTTATTCTATGCTTAAGTTGTAAATACTGTATGTATTGTATCTTATATCTAACCAAGATTCATTAATCGAAACTCTCACCTGATGTCTATTTGAAATCATCTTTAGCAACTTTATTGTATATTCATTTTGTATCTGCTTTTTATGTTACACTATCTCACGATGTAAAACTCTAAAGTGGCAAAGTGCCACCTCTCCCTTTATTACTTCACATCTTGTCTCTGTGACACCTATATTGATTTATATACTTTCAGGATCCCATATTTAATGACAACTGGCAAAAAGCCTTCAAATTCACGCAGGCTAGGTCCAGTATAACAGAGATAAATTAAATGGAAATTCAAAACGCAATTCGATTTTCTTATTTGGACATCCTCTCTTTTATTATTCGCGATATAAAAATTGTAGAGGAATTTTGTAAAAGTAATTATTTAATCTCTTGCTCCTATAAAGTTTATAAAAAAATTTATAAATTTTTATTTCTAGATTTTGATTTGAATGACACGTCATCAATCAAATTTCAGTTTAAAAATAATTTTTCAACAGCGAATAATTACTGTTTTCCTTCCAAAATTCTGTTATGTTATATAGTCGAAAAAATCCAGTGATTCTGAGAAAAATTAGAAATTACGTTAAAATGTCATAAAAACTTCATTTAAAAGATTTTATTCCGTCTAATTGTATGATTCTGAGAGTTTTAGTTTGTTCATTCAAATGAAATATCCGAGAATAGTTTCAGCATTACATTTTAAAAAAATCAAAGTCCAGTTTTGGAAAAAAAATGCTTTACCGCATTATATTCTTATCTACAATGAGCATGTGTGCAAAATTTGAGATCGACAGTTTATCAGAGAATAGTTTTAAAATGGACGCCAAAGTTTTCACCATAATGAAAAACACGACGAGGCAGTTAAATAAAAGCTTATAAAAACGCAGCTATTAAAAAATTTAGTAAGACACGTAATGAGTATCATTTTAATAATCGCACTAAGTATAACAAATAACTAAAGTAATATAATTCAGGCTTAATTTCAGCAATACGCCAAAGAAGCAAAACAAAGTTTATCGAAAGAACAGATTTGTAAAACAGTTTCATTCCTTTGCATTACAGAGCAATAAGATCTCGTAGTACACTGTGTTTCTCGTTTTCATCACATGAATTTTATTTGAATTTGAAATTCAAACTTAAAGTTGTAAAAAATTATTGGTTTAAATTAAAAAAAATAACAGAATTTTTCAAAATTTAGTATAATAAAAAGTTATTTATTAAAAAGTTACAAAAATTTTAGGGTTATTGAAATTTAAACTGAAAGTTATGAAAACAATCAAGAAATGAATTGTCTTTTTCGCCAGTAATTACTTACGGTAATCATGAAATAGGTTGGAAATAATACACTGACGAAGTGAGGCAAGCAAATAGAAGAAGATATATGCAAGAAATGATTATACTGGTTTATTTCTGAATTGGGAGGGATAATATAATATCGGCGTCCTTTTATTGGTTCATTAAGTGATTTCAATTTGATTTGAAAATTATTGGATAAATACAATTAGTTTCACTTTTGTCGTCATGTTAGCACATGTGTCATCTCGTTATATAAGAATGTGTTAGCTTTTAATATTGGAATTGCACATAGTAGAAAGATTTATTATAAGCATTTCTCTATTTCTAAAACAGAAAAGAGAGCTATCATAAGTTAAAACTGAACTTTTATCTGTATGATGACTAGAGACTCTTACTGCGCAACTGTGCTTGATAATTTCCGAAGACGTACAGTGGGTACAAAAAGTATTTGCACACATACATTTTTGTTCACAATTTATAAGAAAATGCATTAATAAATACAAAAATTGGCATTTAAAAATAGAATGAGCCTATTAATTTAAATTAATTACAAAAAATACAATAATATTAATAAAAAACATTTTTTGCAACAATATTAAAATAGCTTATGTCAAAAAAAGTATTTGCACACTCAACTCAACTCTAGCAAATTTGCATTTTATGCTATTATTTGACAGTCATCCCGCAGTAAATAATATATGTAAGACGACTATAAAAGGAGGTGTTGTCGAAACGTTATCAGTTGATTTCCGATTCAAATTGTAATGGCACCTAAGAAATCTGAATTGGTCGATTTCATTTCGAGAGAAAAAAATTTTTTTTTCTCTACGTGAAAATGGCCTAACGTTATCGAGAAATAGGTAAAAAAAGTAAATGTTTGCTTCTCTACTATTTGGTATGTTATAAAGAAAGAGGATCTACATCAAATAACTTGCGCTCTGGACGCCCAAAGAAACTTTCACTGCGAATGAAGCGAAAAATCATAAGAGAAGCATCAAAAAATCCATTTGTTAGTGCAATTACTTTAGCCAATGATGTCGCTTCAACATCTGGAGTTCAAATCTGTGCCCAAAGTGTTCGAAATGTCCTGCACGATGCACACATTTATGGGAGACCACCAAGGAAAAAAACCTCTCCTAACTGAACGAAACAGACTGAAGAGACTTGAATTCGTTAAGGAATATATCAATAAGCCAATCGATTTCTGGAAAAATGTCATATTCTCCGACGAGAGTGAGTTCAATATCTTTAAATCAGATGGCAGAAAATTAGTTTGGAGAAAAAACCTTGTGCTGCTTTTCATACCAAAAATGTGTTACCTACAGTTAAACATGAAGGAGGTTCTGTTATGATTTGGGGGTGCATGGCTAGCAAAGGAATTGGTAATTTGTGTTTCATTGGTGGGAATATGACAGCTCGAACCTATATTGATGTGTTGCAAGATAACTTGCCACAAAGTGCAATAAAATTGGGTATCAGTAATTCGTACTATTTTCAGCAAGACAATGATCCCAAGCACACTGCCGGTATAACTCGTATGTGGTTGCTTTATAATGTAACCAGAAAACTTGCCGCTCCAACCACAATCACCAGACTTAAATCCTTTGGACAATTCTGTGGAATTCTTTGGATTTAAAAATAAGTAAAAAGGAAGATTTCAAGCAAATCTACCCTTAAACAAGCCCTTATTGAAGGGTGGACCGAATACTGAGCCTACTGTTACAGAAAATTTAATTAATCAATGCCAGCAAGATTACAAGCAGTAATAGATGCTAAAGGCATGCATAATAAATATTAGTTATTTTAAATTTGCTTATATATTTTATTTCTTTTGTATTCATGCAGGTGTGCAAATACTTTTTTGATACGAGATATTTTAATTTTGTTACAAAAAAGCATTGTTATTTATATTATTGTAATTTTTCTGTTTATTTTGGATGATTAAACTTATTCTGATTTGGCAATACCAATTTTTTTATTTCTTAATGCTTCTTTTTATGAATTGCAATTAAAAATGTAGGTGTGCAAATACTTTTTTTACCCACTGTATGTCAGACTGTGATAAATGCAAAGTTTTAGTTGCAAAAGCTTGGAAATAAAATGGTAGACATATTAACACATTCTGCACTAAAATCCCTTTCCGGGTTCGTATAATGAACCATGCATTCATCTTAATAATATTTCGATAATAAATAAATGTGAAATTAACAAAAAGTAGGTATGACATTTCGAGAGCCACTCTGTAGTTTTCAAAGATACGGCAGCAGTGCGAGAAATTCTCGAATAAGCCACAGTTACGATTAAACACCTTGTATTAAACTACAAGGCATGTTATTAAATTTGTATAATTTTCTCTTCTGAGTGAATATTGAATAGTGGGTCAAGTAGGGCAATAGAGGATTTAACTGAACTCTTTGTGAAACTTAAGAATGATTGTCACCCCATTATCAGAATTTTCGTAACCTTATCTTTGTTCGTTTCTCAAACTAGACCAATGATTTAAGAACAACCGCTAAAGAGATATTTAGACGTGCAATCGTTTAAAGCTCTGTATAAACTGGACTAAAACTTCGTAAATTACAAATTTGTGAAATTTTTAGTTAGGAACTAATTGATTGCATTCGAATTCTTCGCCTTTGCTTTATAAAAAATAAATTCCTGTAATAGAATTGTTACAATCGCAGGACAGATTTAAATCACCACTTTTTATTTCCTTTCAAGCGTGTTCCGAAAACCAGCATTACGAATCCTGCGGAACGGCCTGCCCGTTGACTTGCAAGAACTATGAAAATCCTCCCAAAATATGTGTTCTTATGTGCGTTTCTGGATGTTTCTGTGACGAGGGATACGTCAAGACCGAAGACGGTCGCTGTGTGAAACCTGAAGAATGTCCAGCGCAGGCAAACCGTAAGCATTTCTTTTCTTTTTATCTCCATCTACGTAATTTCAAAACTAAACCTCCGCTTCACAGATTCTTAACTTTACACTGCCTACTATACATTTGCAAGCACCTGTCTTGTTTCTAAATGGAAGCATTACTCATCTAATGAACGTTCACACATAATTCTTAGTTATTTTCATAGATGTTATCAGATACTTTATTTATATAGAAATAACTGTGGCAGAAGGCGAAGTAGCAAGTGTTCCCAAATTGCATATATTCAATATATATAGGAACTGAGGAGTTTTGCTGTTTTATAAATTGTGTCAGTATGACCGACGACCACTCGATGTTTCAGAAATAGGAAGAAATAGAAAAATGTCAATTTGCCCCTGATCATTTCTTCTGTATTGCTGTTTAGCAAATCTCGCATTCATTCGAAGCACAAACAAATAAGTCAGCTAACTGCTCATTTCTCGTGTATTTAACGCTATTTCTGTGGTTTTATACATTGCTCATGTATTTTATATAATAAAATATAATTTAAAATTAGTTGCAGAAAAGCTTATACTGCGGAAGAGCGATGTCAATTAATGGAATCGGGTATGAAATATAGTCATCAATACGAATGGCTAGCGTAGTGGTCTCAAACTGATCACTCGAGCAGTCTGATATGGCACGAGAACACATTTCCATGTATTAATTAACCTTACTATAAATTTTATGGCAAAAATTTGAAGAGAGGTTTAATATTTTAATGATTTCGAGCCCAGCTTTACATTATTTTCACTACCACTAAAAACAAACGTGAGTTGCACCCCAAAATATCTACAATGGAGCTAATTAATTTAAAGCATGATACAAATTTTATTAACATACTTGAAATATGAATTTCATAAACATAAGATAGATATTTGTAGTTACAAATGTTTGGAATAAGAATAATCGATTTACTTGGGAGTATAATTCAGGTGAACAGTCCCCCCCTCCCCGTAGTCGAAAATAAATTTAAAAAAAAAAAAAAAAGAAGAACCAGATTGACCAATGAGCATCTACAATTTGTGATAAAGGTAATTTCTAGAAATTTTTCTCCAAGGTTACAAACTTTATCAAAACTCAAACTTCATGAAATACAATAAGAAACTAATGAAGTTTATAAAGTTATTTACATACGAATATATGTATATTTTTCGTATGCGTCCATCTAGGAAAATTTAGTGACTAAAATAGGTTTTCATTATTTATTCTCAAGATTTTTCCCATTTCGAAAGTTTTCGTAATTTGTTTAACCTTAGTTTAAGTTAAAATTACGTTATTTAGTGCTTAATTCAGCTTATTAGAATTTAAAATAGATGTCAGCCTGGAAATTTAACTTTTAACAAGTTTAAATTGCAAAATGTAACCAAGAGAAGGTTCTTGCAGATACCACACTTCAAAACAATTAATTGAAATTTAATTTTCTCTCTTAACGTTAATAACATTATATTTTAATAAATATTAAGTAAATAAAGTTCTTAATTTAAATTTAAAAAAATTCTCGTTGAAAAAAGTTTAATTTTAGCAAACAAACCAACACACAAAATCGGTCCCGTAGGCTTTTAGATCGTACTATTCGGTCTGCATGCAGTTTGAGACCACTGAGCTAATGGCAATAAAGATAAAAGTGGATGACGAAATGTATGGCAGTGGCAATCAATTTACAAAACCAAGTAGTTATACAAAAAATATTATTGTTTCCGATGTGAATGCTGTAATCCAAAAAGGTTCTTCAGTGTAATTGAGTCTGCTGGATTGTCAGAAAAGGCAAGCAGAATCTCAAGTGCAGGAACCTCAAAAGAAATTATTGAGGGAGGTTTACCAAGACCGGTCTGTACAAAATGAGATATCCAAGAAAGTACAAGATATATTATGGAAGAAGCAGAAGATGAAGTATGGAGAGTAACCGTTACTTAGAAGAGAAGGTGTACCTGATGAGATATGTGTTACCGTATTTATAATACGTTTTAGGTTCAATGAAACTGATTTATAGATCCATTTCCTATTTGTATTCTTACTGTACAAGTAGCAGTAGTAAGATATGAGTTATCTCTGAATGTTGTTGCCAAATAGCAACAAAAAATTAATAGCTTATTAAACACAATAAGCAAGAAATATATACATAGTTTTTTAGCATTTTTCTCTGTCTCTGAGAAGCCTTGGAAGATCGTATCTTCTTCCCTGTCATATAAGTTGTTCTGGATCTTAATAGTAAGCGTGGTGACTTCTCGCACAAGTGGAAAAAATAACACCATAGAAAGAACGGTGTAAATAACCCTTTTATTTTCAAACTCTTTTAACAAAAAGGTACGTACTTCGTGCTGACAATAACACCGACTGCTTGCGGTGAGGAACTAAGGATAATTTAACAATAAATTCAAAATGGTAAATAGTATGCACAATTTAGAATACGCAATTTACTTAAACTGACAGGCTGACTCAGCAACCTATACCGGTGATAGATTTAATAAACGGCCAAAATAGCCGCAACTAAGATTAACAGCTGGAGGATAAAATAGAAACATATGCTATACTAGCGAAGTAACGCTGTGCTTAACCTTCTCGTTTCTCCTGCTTAACCTTCTCGTTTCGCCTGTTTAAATACTCTTTTAACTTAAATTTGCATCCAGGAGAGAAAACTCGAAGCCTTTTTAACAACATACATTTTTTGTTGCTAAAATAAGTTTTAAAAAAAAAGTCTGAAATGTTTCCGATTTTATCGGTTGCTCAAAAGAGCTTGGCAAGGTTTTTTACTCTCTCGCTGAGCTCGCAGTCTATCAGTCTGCTGTTGGACTTACTCATGCTAACCCATTTTTTAAAGTCTTTTTAGCTTTATTATTAAGCCTTATTTTCTTCGCACTTTCGCCATATCAATTCAGCAAAAAACCTTGCCAAATTTGGGTACCGCTTGATTCTCAAGGCCCCTGTAATCGAAACGGCGCGAAGATTACAGCAAGTTTAAGGTGTTTGGTGTATTTAATTATGGCAAAGCACACTAGGGCTATCTGCCTAAGGGGAGGGATGCCTTTCGTGGAGGACTTTCTAAGGGAAACTGGCTCGTATACACGTTACACATGGGGAAAACCACGAAAACGCCCATGCAGCCAGCCCGTTCGCAGGATTCGAACCTCGGACCGAACTACTAGTGTTCAGCGATTTTACCGCTCGGCCGCTGGTGGGCTACAGCAAGTTTAAACCAATTGCATGTAATATATCTCCGCGATTGCTTTTAATATGGCATCAAAAGGCTTTTTTCGCCACATGAATTCTGAAAGATACCGTTGTAAATGATGTCGAGTCGCACCCCCTTGCTTTTTGTTTTGCCATTGACCAGAGTCTCACATTTTGGGTGTGAGAACCCATTGTTGGATCAACAAAACTAAATTTATGATACATAGTTGAATAGCTATAACCACCCTTTTCAAGCTCATCTGTTTTATAGGCTCGCCAACAATCCGAATATATTGCCTGCCTTTCTAGAGACGCCTTTCCTCTCTTACAAAGGTTCTCACACACAATGACAAAAGGTCACGCTCTTGAACTTTCAAGAATCATTCAGCGTCAAGCGCCAAAAGTCCCAAAATTCGTCTGAGCTAGTTAAAATTGTAATAAACCAGCAGTAATGTGCTACTGTGTTCTGAATATATTGTCGATTCTTCTACTAGGTGGTCTACAACCGTTGATATCAGTGTGCTTGCTTCCCGATTTGGAGCCTGAACAAGAAAGCACTTTCAAGGCATAACCCCATGAATATCCACTGTTGTGGAAGTACCCTACCAGCCCTAATTTTTCGCTGCACGAACAAACTCTCCAAAGTCAACTATTTTTCCAGGCCCACCTAATCGTTCTTCAGGTTGTCGAAGTAAATCTAGCGAACAAACCTATAAAATTGTTCCAGTCAATATGGTAGCTTGACAAATGTTGAGATGTTTATCGCATCAGTTAAGCGATGTAGCTCCTCTGCCCTAGTAGATGAAAAGTAGGGTTTTTAGGAATGGTATTCTTGAGCTATTAAATTAGGTTTCGAATCGATTTCTCTTTATGTGCTCGAAACTCTTCAGTTGTACCTCCACATACTTTCGTTTACATATAATTCCATTTCGAGGCCATTTATGCGTACTCCATTGCAAGGCAATATATCTTTTTCATAGAAAAAAAACGATACGGCATCTTCCTCACTGCTTGGTAAATTAAAAATTATCAACGAATTTTACAGCGTTTACATTGAAAATATCCGATGTGAACACCGCATGATTTCCTTGTACGGCCTACTGAATTACGGATATTTTTGCTGCACTTCATTTAAACATATTTCATTAAAGCAGGGATGCCCAACTCGTAGTTCGCGAGACATGTATGACTCGCGGTAACTTTTGATGTGGTTCATTTTATCAACTTTAGCTTGAAATATCTAAAACATTATTTGCTGTATGAAATATAATGCCGTTGTTAATGGCCATAGCTGTTCAGACATTTCTTTAGTTTAATAGTTATATGTATAGAAAGAAAATACATTAATTGTAGGAATTAATTTGGTTGATTATTTGTATAGTTTTCGGTTTTATTAAATTGTTACGCCACTGATCAGGAATATTTTAGCTTTAAAATGGCATCACCCTCAGCGCTCTTCATGATGTGCCGATGCCGGTCTGTTAATGCGTGACGTTGGTCAGTAGCTACGGAGAAGGCAGTGAGCTAGGTTCGTTGAGTTTGGAATATGTTTATATACAGAACTTTTATTTATCAGAAGTTGTGCATAAACTGACAAGTACTTTCATCCAGGTATAAAAATACTGTTCTAGCTTATGTTAATCATTATTATATAATAGCAATTGCTTTGTAGTTACCCTAATCATGTCGGCACAGGAACACCAGAAAAAAAAAACGTATATACAACTATAATTTTCATGAAAAATGGGAAGGGAAATATTTTTTATACATTTTAAGAAAAAATGTATTTGTCTGATTTGTGGTTCAATAGTTACTGTTGCAAAAAATGCAACATAGAACGACATTTCGCAACGATTCACAAAAAATATGATATTGAATATCCTCTTAACAGCAATTTAAGAAAATGTAAATTGAAAGAAATGAAAACCGTATTTAATGGCCCAACAAACGTTGTTTACCAGGCCTGTGAATACATCAAAAGCTGCTACTTGCATCGTTTAAGATTACACATATACTTTCAATAAAAAACCTTTTGAGGATGGTAACATGATTAAAGAATGAATGCTTGCTGCATCAGCGATATTATTTCAAAAATTTAAAAATAAAAATGAAATTGTTTTAGCTATCCAGGAAGTTCAATTATCCAAAAATTCATTAACTCGTACAATAGAAGAAATATCTGTGAATATCAGACAACAATTAGTTGATTTACAAAAATGTGTTTTTCGAAGTTAACAGTGTGACGAATCAACAGATATCTGTAATGTCCGTTTATTCTCCTTCTAATCTGTCCGCTTATTCTCCTTCTCTTTCTCTTCTCCCACTCTCCGGCAACCGGACATGGATCTTACCTCTACGCAACCAGACTAGGGGAATTTATTCGTCGCTGAGTCCTCTGCCAAGCAAGGCAAAGCGCTCCGTTCATGGCCACTCTCTCATGGCAAGGGAACCAGTTTGTTTTCTTTAAAAGGCTATCACCTCCTCCCCCCCCGTTCTCGAAGGTTCTTCATTCATTAGATGGGGATTACGCATTCTCGCATTCCTAAAAAAGGAAAACCTTTAAAATCATTCTTTCTCATTCTCCCTCCTTCTAGAATGTTCTTTCATGTTATTTGCTTAAACTTCCAGCGAGTATTATAATTATTATTTGCTTTTACAAATACATGTAAACAGAAACCTGTTCTTCCAACTAAGAATTCAAATACATAATATTATGAACTACACTTATAATTAAAAAAATAACATAACATCATGTAGTTCGGACATGGAATTCCGTAATATCTGCCAAAGATGTTCTGTAAACTCTTTCGTTCACAAACCACCACAGATACAAATTCTAAATGGGTTTAATTGCAGCGAACGTCACCGGATGGCATCTAAAGTAGTCAAATCTCTCACACACCACAAAATACAAAAAGAAATCTAAAGCGACCAGTCTAGCGAACGCCACGGAGAGAAATCCACAGGAGGCAAGTCGCCACTGAAAGAAATCTAAAGCCCCTCCGCTTAAGTTTTGCCGAAGAGCAAAACGTTTTGAATTATTTCTCTCAAGGTATGTAAACCCCAATGCAATGAACAAATTAATTTCCAATATATGTGTAATTCGTTTTCGTCAGTTCTTTTGTGGATAAACTGTATTATGGCTGAAAGTTTAGAAACTGTTCAATTACTCAGTTAGCAAAGTATGCCAAACGATTCAATTTATACAAATACACGAAAGTTGCAAATCCATTAAGGTTATGAAAAAAAATTTCCTCTTTGATAAAAGTCTGCGGTGAAACTCAGCAGCACATGCAATGTGAAATATCATGTTCCTTAACTTGTGACAACTAGGACAATCCACCGAAAATATGTCCTGCCCTATGCGTTTCAGGATGCTACAATCTAAAAGGTTTCGTGAAAACAGCAGGTGGACGTTGCGTTAAGCTCGAAGAGTGTCCAATCAGAAGAAGATACACCTTGCGAAAAAAAAAAAAAAAGGAGGGAACAGTTCTATACTTCCCGAAATTTAACTTGAGTTTTCTTGTTTCGAAAGCAAGACTTGGGATATATATTACACTTACATACAGCATTGCTATAACACAGGTATTCTCACACAAAATCGGACATTTTCTGAAGGAACATACCTATTTTTTCATATTTCGATGGCACGAGTAGTTTTTAAAAAATTAGCTGTCAAATTTTTAGTTCTTCAGTGTTATTTGCATTTGGTATAATATTTATGAATGTCTCTTTTTTATTAAACTCACTTAATTCTTTTTTCACAGCTTTAAATTTAGGTTCAACCCAAATAAAATTCGCAGCTATTTTCTAATTTGTTTTTAAGGTGCGCAAAGATAAATTTTTAAAGTTCTCGATAACTTTCTCATCAAATTTTACGAAATTTAATATTTAGGCATAATGTGAGTCGTAGAATCGAAATATGAAACAAAAATCGGTATATCATTTCAGAAAAAGTACGATTTTATGTCAAAATACCTATGTTAGAACAATAATACTTATAAATCTAATATACATACCCTAAGTCGCACTATCGAGATATGAAAAACGCAAGTTAAATTTCGTCAATCGCCTCAGTAGAACGAGAGATAGAGAAGTGGGTTTTTTTGGGGGGGAGGAGGGCAGAGTGTACGTTTGACAATGCTTTTAAAAAGCACTGCCATTCCATTTACATTTTTGGAAATTTGGGCTACATAGTGGCTTTAGACGTGACTTTTTTTTTTTTTTTTAAGATGTTGAGAAGACTTGTACGGACAAGCCCGACACAGGCATGTGCAGAGGATATTTCCCAATGTTCTATTACGACGCCCAGACAGGAACTTGCAAAAAATTTATATATGGTGGTTGTCAAGGAAACGGAAACCGATACGCTACTATACAAGAATGCATGGAATACTGCGGAGGTAAGTTATTTTTAGTTTTAAAGAAAGAAATATTTGTCAAAAATCAATGCGTTTATAACACTGTGGTTTACATATGTAAACCCAACGTATTAATTTTATTTAAAATGTATTTTCTCGATTGGCAACAACAGTTTTTTCAGAACGATAATATTTTGAACTGTAAGTTTTTGAGCAGTAATGTTGACGGTAATGTTTCTGAATAAAGCAAGTATTTAACAATTAATGTTTTTGACGGAATGTGTTTTTAATAAAGGAACTAATTAATTGCTAACATTTCAGAAGTGGGATAAACTAGAATTATTATCTAGATTTAACAACGTATTGCCTTAACGTACGCTAAGCCTAAACTGAATGTGGAAGCTCGCCAAGTAGAAAGGTACGTGAATTTATAAACTGTTTATGTTATGTCTAAGTATTAAACGGAAAGAACTTAAGTATAATTATTGTATTGTTATTTGAAAATTGAAGTATAAGATGGCTTATTTGGCAAGAGGCAAAAAATGTGATTTAAAAGAACTTGCTTTGGAACTTGGTAGATGTCCCTTCTGATATTAAAATTGTAGGCTTAAGAGATATGATTTTGAATAGTAAGAATTATAACGAAGACTTTACTAAACAAATGCTAGATAGAATTATAAATGATCGTTTAGACAGAGAAAAGTTAGAAATTTTAGAAAAAGAAAAAGATAAGCAAAGAGCATTTGAAATGGAAGAAAAAGATAAGCAAAGAGCATTTGAAATGGAAATTATAGAAAGAGATAAGCAAAGAAGCATTTGAACTTGAAAAATTGAAAATAGAAGCGGAAATCAGAAGTAGATAATGTAAATGATTCTGTTTCCTTCTAATGTTAGTAGAAGTAATATTTGTGATATGAGTAAATTAATGCATAAGTATGATTTGAATGAAGGTGATATACAAGTTTTTATCTAGTTTTATTTGAGAGACAGGCACGACGTATTGGGTTAGAAGAACAAAACTGGGTTTCTCAGCTGTTGGGTCTATTGCCTTATGAAATAACTCAATTAATTGCCCGTGAATCAGAAGAGAAAGCTAACGACTATAAGCACGTTAAGCAACTGCTACTGAGAAAATTTAAGTTAAGCCCTGAACAGTTTCGGCAAAAGTTCGTTGATCATATTAAAACTTTGCGTAATACGTGGAAGGACTTCACGTTTGAATTAAAAAAATTATTTTGAAGAGTGGCTTGCTGGATTAAATGTAACAGATTTTGACTCTTTAAAACAACTTATTATTACTGATCAATTAAAGAAGAGGGTCCCCGCTGCTATCCGAGATCATTTCATTGATGATTGGTCTAAATTCATTAATCCTGAAGAGTTAGCTGAAAAACTAGATGAATATGAAAATATTCGGGCAGGGATAAAAGTACTTCAAGTAGAAAATAAAACTTTTAGGCATAATTCTAAGCCCAAATCTGGTTCTAAATTTTATGAAGGATCCTCCTATAATCAGTATTCAAGACAAAGAAATGTTAACGATTCCATGCAGACAGATGGTAATTTCAAAGTGGGTTTTAAAAACAGTTTTGATAATAAATACAATTCTGAGAGATAAATTTTATAAAACAGACGAAAGGAAAAGGGAATATAATTTCTGGCATCCGCAATGAAAAGGGTGAGCCGAAATGCTTCAATTGTAATGATTATGGACATATAGCGACGGATTGTCCTCAACCTAAAAAAGAAATTACGTATTTGCAGGAAATGTAATGAAAAGGGTCATACTTTGAAAAGGTGTACACCTAAGAATCCAGACTTGACAAATGTTAAAAATAATTTATCCGTGGACCAGAATTCAGGTGTTTCACCAGCTGTATATTTAAAGTATGCTCGCATCAATAATGGAGAAGAAATTACTGCAATCATAGATACGGGTTCTAGTTCGTGTTTATTAAAACAGTCTGCGGCTAAGAGACTGAATCTTATTATAAAACCTGATGTGGAGGAATTGTTTGGCTTTGGGAACCAGAATAAACCAGCCGCTAGAACATTGGGAAAAGTGACTGTTAACTTAGAGATTGATAATGTGGAAGGAAAGGACATTACAGTTCTATTTGTAGGAGAGAAACGCAACCATGCGACTTAGTAGTTGGTCGAACATGGATTGATTTACCGCATATTGCATACGCCCAGATAGGTAATACCTTGCACATACGCTATACTAATGATTGCCCATTTTCACAGTTGCAAAATGATAGCAACACTCCGCGAATTAAACTGAAGGCTTCCCAAGAAACTCAAATCAAAAGTAATACGGTTAATTTCGTGAAAGTTGAAACTGATGAAATAAATAACGGTTATGTTTTAATAAGTGGATCGGAAGATGACTTGGGCTCATTATTGGAAGTAATACAGGGAGAAACAGAGATACCAGTCACTAACTACAACGATGAAAAGGCAGCAACTCTGGACAATGGTGGAAAGAGCAAATCGAACAATTTTGGCTACGATTAAAACGAGTATGGAAAATCCGAATCAGAGAGACTGGGACAAAAAGATTAAGGAATGCGAAAGAAATCTAAACAATATGATAAATAAGACTACAAATAAAACTCCTTTCGAAATGCTTCACGGTTATTCACCAAAATTTAACGACGGATTGATGAGGATGATTACAGATGAAGACGCAGATGAATGGGAGAATCCAGTAATCTTACAGAATGAAGCTAGAAAGAGAATTGAAGATATGCAGATGAAAATGAAAGCAAATTATGACAAGAAGAAAAGCAATTCTTTAACATTCGAACGAGGAGAAATAGTAGTTATGAGAAGAGTACCTAAATCAACTGGAGAATCAACCAAAACACAACAAAAGTATCGATGACCTTTAGTAGTTACAGAAGTTTTACCAAGTGATATCTATAGAGTGACTCAATTAGAAGAGGTGAAAGGACATTTCTTTAGTACGACAGCTCATGTGAGCCAATTAAAGTCATGGCAGTGTCAAGCTGAATCAGAAGAAGACGATGATGATGGTGATGACATTAGTGTTACTGAGGATAACGATAACAACACGCCGCATATGACTAAAACTAGGACACGGAAAAAGAATAGAAAACGACGGTGAATCTATATGACAGCTAAAGACTTTCGAACTATAAAAATTAATATTAGAGATTTAATTTTTTAAATATAAGTTCTTAATGTTCCGAGGTCGTAACTAAGTCAGGATGCCCGAATGTAAACGCAACGTATTAATTTTATTTAAAATGTATTTTCTCGATTGGCAACAACAGTTTTTTCAGAACGATAATATTTTGAACTGTAAGTTTTTGAGCAGTAATGTTGACGGTAATGTTTCTGAATAAAGCAAGTATTTAGATCAATTTTTAGATCAATAGTATTTAACAATTAATGTTTTGACGGAATGTGTTTTTAATAAAGGAACTAATTAATTGCTAACACATAGCTGAAAATACCTCTACGGGAACACCATTTTTAGCTCGAGTTACGTCTAGGAGACTACCTCATTCCGAAAATCCGGAAGCATCATTTGTGTGACGTCCTATAGCCTTTGTAGTTTGGACACCACAACTTCTAGATCGACCACAGACGTTTGATACATCCTTCTTCGCAAAACCCCCACAAAAAAGAATTCTAAAGCGCTTAAGTCCGGCGATCACCACAAATGGAATCTTAAAGAGTCAAGTCGAAACGAAACGAAACTGTAAAGAGATCAAGTCCTCGGATTGACACAGAAGGAAATCTTAAGGAGTCGAATTGCAATGGAAAAATATGAATGGATTAAGTTCTCGGAATGCCACAGAAGGAAATCTTAAGGAGCCAAGTCGCAACGGAAAGAAATCTAAAAGAATCTAGTCTTTGGAATTCTGCAGAAGGAAGTGTAAGGAGTCAAGTCGCAACGGAAAGAAATCTAAAATGATCTAGTCTGATGAACTCCACGGAAGGAAATTTGAAGGAGTTAAATCGAAACGAAATGAAATCGAACGGAGCCAAGTCCGGTGAACGCCACAGGAAGAAATAACAGATAAGTAGCAACGAAAAGAAATCTAACCGAAGCTTATCCTCATCAATCCTCCTCCGAAGGAACGTTTTCCAGTTCTTCCTTCAACTATACATAAACACATTGATTTCGAATATATGCGCCGTCTGAAAGCTTTGAAGCTGTTCAACTATCCATTTAGCAAAGTATGCTACAGTTTATAAAGATACTTTTAACTTACAAATTAACCCATATATGGTATGAAGGAATCTTTTCATCTTTTTTCCACAGGAGTTTGCGCTGAAAACCAGGAATACAAGCAATGCGGAAAAGCTTGCCCCTTGACATGTGACAACTATGACAATCCACCGAAAATATGCCCTGCCATGTGTGTTTCAGGATGCCACTGTGTCAAAGGTTTCGTAAAAGCAACAGATGGACGTTGCGTTAAGCCCGAAGAGTGCCCAAGCAAAAGCAGAAGTATGTTTAACACTGCTTTTAAAATCACTATTATTCCATTCAAATTTTTGGAAATTTTATTTCATAGAAGTTTCTAATATTGCTTTTTTCAGATGTTGAAAAGACCTGCCTGGACAAGCCAGATACAGGAATGTGCAGAGGCTACTTCCCAATGTTCTACTACGACGTCCAAACAGGAACTTGCAAAGAATTTATCTACGGTGGTTGTCAAGGAAACGGAAACAGATACGCTACTGAAGAAGAATGTCTGGAACATTGCAGAGGTAAGTTATTTTAAGTATTAAGAAGCAAATATTGTTTCTAATGTTAAGATATTTTGATATTGTTACCTAAAATATTCAATAAGTTAATTATGTACATAATTTTCTACCTTGAACAATGGATATTAGAAATCCTAAGATTACTTAAGATTATTGCAGTATTTATGTACCAAGAAAAATCCTTTCTTGCAAAAAATTATCATGAGAATTCAAAAATAACTCGTGTTAAAAATCTAAAATAATTTTATATTGTAGCACTTAATTCCAACTTCAGTCTGAGACAAACTAAAATTATATTCAAACAGGTGACAAAGCATTTACGAATGCAAAAATGTTGTTTCAGAAGTCATATGATAAGATTTTTTAAATCGAGAATTTTTACGCCGTAGCTCTGTTATGCAGATAATAATTTTCTAGAGAGTTTCGAAGCCAAGACATTACCTCCTCTGCCCTGCACCACAGCTGTCGGTGGAGGAAGTTCGTTGAGTGGGGCAAAGCACACTAGGGTTATCTGCCTAAAGGGACTAATGGAGGACTATCTAAAGGAAACTAGCTTTATTCAAATTACACATGGGAAAATCCATGAAAATTTACTACGCAGCTAGTCCATTTGTGTGGGATCGAACCCGGCTAAAACTTTCAGTATTCATCAGTCTTAACCACTCGGCCACTGGTGGGCCCCACTGACGATGAAAATTCCCACATAGCACAAAAACATCCTTGGGATATCCCGAGGATGTTGCTCGCGGGATATGCGCACATCCTCAGGACATCCCGGAATATCCCGCGAACCTCCTAAACACCTCCTCCCGAGTGCTTAATGTCACATCCCGGGATATCCTCAGGACATCCTAACTAAGTCCCATTGACAGCGTGCGAGATGTTACTAGGATATGAACTCCTACTTACTACATCCTCAGGACATCCCGGGATATCCCACTAACCTCCTAAACACATCCCATTATATCCTAAAAACATCCTATCTATGTCCCATCGACAGCGTATGGGATGTTATTAGGATTTAAAGTCCTACTTACTACATCCTCAGGACATCCCGTAATAACCCAGTTTCCTCCTAAACTCATCCTCCCTAGTGCTTAATGTCACATCCCAGTGTATCCTTAGGACATCCTATCTAGGTCCCACCGACAGCGTATGGGATGTTATCAGGATTTGAAAAACTAGTTACAATATCCCTTTAACCTCTTAAATACATACTCTCAACTGCTTAATGTTACATCCCAGTATATCCCCAGAAATCTTTATATTCCAGTGAAAGTGTGTTAAGGTGTTGTGATAACCTGAAACTTGCTTATTTTCCACAGACAGTCTCAGGTCCTCCATCTGTGGTTACTATGGAAAAATAAGAAATGTTAAGAATATTTATACAATTTATTTTCTAATTTGAATTTCAATTCATTTAATAATTTGTAAATATATCTAAAACTGAGCAAGAGACTTGAAATGAATTATTAATACAAAATATTATAAGAGAAAATTTTGCTTTAAAGTATTAAAAATCTTTCGATCATTTTTAACCATTCAATAGCCCAAAACTGAATTCTTCGATATATTCATAATTAAATTATTCTACAAACTCAGTTCTGACTTCAGTTAATTTGTATTCAAAATTCAATAATAAAATTAAGCATTTAATAACATTTAAGTAGTGGACCAGATGTGTGTAAATTTTGAAATTCTGAACTTAAGTCGGTTACGTTGATTGAATCATTATTCATGGCTACAATATGATTAAACAGTTCATGAGTTCGTCTCGCTATTTGCTGTAATGGAGCGGAAGATTTTCTAATCAATTTTTTTATAGAAGATATATAGCTTTCAAATTTAAATGCACTGTAATTATCTAACGGCCCAAACATTTTTACATCTTCGCAAATATGCAGTAGGCCATGAGCATTATGAGCAATATACTGTTTTTCATAATAAAGCCCAAAATTTACTACGAAGAGTTTTAATAGAGACTGTGCGTATTCATCAATTGCCGTCTGATTCTGTATTTTGCATAAGAGTCTAATCGAAATATGAAGTAGTAAAAAATGATCATGTACCTTTTTGTTAAATTAAAAAAATATATATAATAAAAAAAATAGGTGGGCTAGTGTACAGTAAAAATTGACGGTACTCTGTAGCTTTCCAGTGTTTCAATTCTTTTAGAGTTGGTTCCTTGGTTTTCTTGCAAATTCAATTGGTACATAAGGCTTTAAAAACTGGTCATTTAAAAAAAAAAAAAAAAAAAAAAAAAATTAGATCAACATTTTTATGTGGTAATCGTGCTTGTAAGGTGCCTCCGCCTATCCTAATAGTAATCATTTTTTGTACTACTCCTAAGCACACAAGGAACATAAAGTCTAACGGAATATTTATTAGTCCTATATTTGGAATATTCCTTAAAATGGGATAATCGTTTTGGTAATCGTCATCAGTCAGTTCTTCTTGAGACATAAAAGTTCATATTTCGAATCACAGTTTGAAATGGAACTTAAAGAATATTTTCTAGGGCGAAAATTCGTCACAGTCCTTTTTCATAATTAAATACTACTTCATCTTCTGACGAATCCGATAATATACGTTGATTTATTCTGCTGTAAATCCGTCTTTTAGATATCTGAGATAATTTTTTTTTTAGTTCTGATCATTTTTGTAGAATAAAAGAAACATTAGAAACTTACTTTTCACACTCTGTCAATGTAACGCTTGCAAGCGTCAGCAAGTCAGTTCGTAACTGAAAGAGAATTTGGAACGACGGCTATTAACGTTTAGCAGAATAGCTGAATTCTGGAAATCAGAAATTAAGTACGTGTACTTTCCACTTTGTGGGGTTCTTCAAGGATATCACTATTACGAAGCAATTAAAATCGTTGGGGGCGTTTTGCGACTTTGTTGTGAAGGGATGAAGGGATGTTTCCCTTGTAGAGGGATACAAAAGAAGGGAATGTCTGACACATAAATCTGCCACGTTAACAAAAGAGAAATCTTCTTGGGGCATCGGCTACAGAAAAAGTGCTCAGAGGTGTTATATTCTGAGCGAAGCTCGGTTTCTCGAAAGCAAAGAAAATTTGAGAAGCAGTTTTACGACCAATGATAATGATGATCAAAACTTTAAGATTTTTCAACTTCAATTGTTATTTACAGTATAAAATAAAGTAATAAAACTGCTGAGTTTAAAGAATGCGTTTAATTTAAAAATTAAATCATTTTAATTTAAAGTTTGAACATCTATTTAATCCGTTATCTAATTTTGAGTTTTTCATAACAACATTTAACTTTGTGATATATACCTTGAAGAAACGTGTTTACTGCATTTTCTGGATGTTACAAATAAATTAATAAAGCAGCAATTATTGTTAAATTATGAGGAGTCATGTAGCATTGTCGGCATAACGTATAAGACTCCAGAGCGCTGGATATATTTTTTTCGCGCTTTGTTTAGCAAAGACCGAATATTTGTATGGTTAAAGAGGTAGCAAAGTGAGGTTTGAGGAGAGTAAGAACTTAATGTTAGTTCTTCCCATTCTCAAACCTTATTTTCCTATTACATAGAGGTAAAAAATAAGTTACTTCTTACCTCAGTCGCTTTGAACTAATTCTCATTATTAAAGAACTTACCAGAAAATGAACGAAGAAACTGCAATGAATTTTTTAGCCCAATAAAATTATTCTTCTGTTTATAAATTCAAATTAAAGCAAGTTAAACCTCGTACAGACTAGTTTTTAACTGCGTCTGTAAACTAAAATTTCGTTTGTTAAAAAAAAAAAAAATATTGTTACTTATTACTGCACAGCACTAAACATCATTCATTACTAATATAATAGTGTAACAGATCAAAAAGTATTTTTTTCTTTTGCAGTTTCAAAGTATAGTTATTTCTATGCTAAGAACTATCGATGAATTTAATAGAATACTTTTATAACTTGATATTTCTGATAAGCGCCTCAGAGACGGGTAAGTGATTATATTGACCGATTGCCGTACAGAAGGGCTCAAGTTCGAATGCCATATAAGGCATGGATGCACATCATGCCCATCTGTTCATAGGATAAATGTCTTCGTAAAAGATTTTCTGAGTTAACCTGTAACGTACATAATATTTGTGTACAAAGATATTAGAAAAGTATCTAAAATAATATTTACAAAATATATTATGTAGCAATTAGAATTTAATCGTAAACACACTTTCAATATGAAACTCAAAAACGGATGAAAACACGTGCCTATAACTTGTAAGAAAGTTCTCTGATCAATAGGCACTGTGAAACAACAACAAAAATTTGAAAATATTATTATTTAATATTTACAGCCAACATATACAAGACGAAATCCAGTGTAAGCATAACAATTAAATTTTCATATGCAGAATAGGTAATCCATAGAGTAAGATTTCGATTCTTATAACATGACTTGCGTGTGGTACAAGGTTACTTTAATATTTTCAGATATGAGCTTCCATAAAAAGTAAGTAATGAAGATATCTGAGAAACATCCTCAGGAGATCTTCATATTTCCCGGGACATTACGACTTGAACAGGACATCCTTAAGATGTTAATTTACGAAGTCCTCAGGATATCTGAAAATCAACATCCTGGGGAGATCTTCATATATCCCGGGACATTGAGACTTGAATAGGATATCCTCAGGATGTTGACTTAAGAAGTCCTCAGGATATCTGAGAATCAACATCCTAACTGCTTCCCGGGAGATTGCGACTTAAATAGGATATCCTGAGGATGTCTTGTGTTATGGGGGTTATCCTCTGTTATCTTCTTGAAGTTTAGTTCACAGAGTACACTCATTTCTTTCATGTATATGTTCAGATGGTTAAGTGAAAAGTTCTTTCCGAAAAGTTTTGCGTCAGTGGACAAACAAGGTTAGACTCTTTCCAAAGTTGACGTCACTTGCACAAGTGGGAGAAAGAAGCCACCAAGGGAGTAGTTACTTTTGAGCAGACTAGGAGTCAGTGATGTCACACATGAGAAAAACTTG